AGGGGGTCGCGCTCTCCAGCCTCCCCTCACACCCCGTCGTTTCTCCCTCAAGGAACAAGATGAGAAAAGGATTAAAATGGAAACCAAAGAAGGGTGAGGAGGAGGGAGAGCGTTCCCGGCCGGTGCCCGTCGTTGCCCGTTTCCCTCCGCCGCGGCCTCGATGACGTGGGGACGATGACGACGTTAACGCTGCTCTGGCTCTTCAGCCCTTTGTATTTTTTCTTTTTTACCCCCAGGCCGGAGATAAAAGACGAAATTACTCAGGTTAAAACCACACCACCTGCTAAAGTAAGTTCCTTTTCCTCCGCCTCAGCATTTTAGGGGCTTTTTCTGTTCTTTTACTTCTTCCAAAAGCCTTTAAGGTTTCCTTAAGGGGAAAGATAAAGCGGTTTCCAGCCCACGTAGCTTCTAAAAACCAACCCCCCCAGCAAGACAGGGAGTGGCACAGCCCGTACGAGCTCGGGCCGCGTTCGGGGCGAGGACAGCGGGCGCTGTTTTGCTGCCTGGGTGCTTTAGAAACGAGGGTCGCGCTAACGGACGGGACCGTTTTGGGGGGAAAGGAGCTTTGAGCCCACCCGTGGCGGGGAGGGAAAAGCCGACGCCGTCTCCCCTCTCTTGCAGACCACCCCTCCCAAGTGCGTCGACTGCCGACAGTACCTCGACGATCCTGACCTCAAATTCTTCCAAGGGGATCCTGATGATGCCGTAAGGGATTTAATGCTCCTTCTCCCGGTGCGGCGAGAGCCGTCGTGCGAGCGGGAGCGCTCGTTACACGTCCTCCTCTCTCCCCTGCTCAGCTGGAGGAGCCCGAAATGCTGACGGACGAGCGCTTGTCCCTCTTCGACGCCAACGAAGACGGCTTCGAGAGCTACGAGGACCTGCCGCAGCACAAGGTCACCTCTTTTAGGTGAGGCGCGGGGGAAGCCGGCTGGAAGAATCCCGCCGGGTTTGCCAGCCCGGCGCGGCAACGCGCCAAGCTCCAACCTCTGTCCCCTGCCAGCGTCTACGACAAGCGAGGTCACTTGTGCCCCTTTGACACCGGCCTGATCGAGAGGAACATCGAGCTGTACTTCAGCGGTGCCGTGAAGCCCATCTACGATGATAACCCTTGTCTGGACGGTGAGTGGGACGTGGAGGGGCCGCAGGGACGGGGGTTCGTCACCTCGCCTTTCGGCTCGACGTGCAAAACGAAGTCGGATCCGGGTGGCGATCTCGTCTGCGGCCGCTTGGTTCGAGTCTTTTTTTTTTTTTGTTTGGGGGTGCCGAGGACTGAAATTTGTGTTTTCTCGCTTTCAGGCGGGGTGAGAGCCAAGAAGCTGGGACCCATAAACGCCTGGTGGATCACGGGGTTCGACGGAGGGGAGAAGGCTTTGATCGGCTTCACCACAGGTGGGGGAGCGAGGAGGGCGGAGGTTGTTCTCGGGGAACGCTCCTGGCTTGGGGTTTAAGTCCCCGCCCCGCGGCCGGCTGGTGAAGGAGCTTTATTTCGGTCCGTGGACTTCGCCGCCGCCGCCGGGAACTTGCACCACCGAGCCCGTGGCGAGGCGGAGGAGCGTGCCGAGGCTGGGGTCCGGGCTGGGTCAGCCCGCCGGCGGCGCCCAGGCTCGCGTTAAACCAGCAGCGCCCTGCGCGAGGCTGTCGGAGCCGGGAGGAGCGAGGTGGCTGGAGGGGGGTGTCTCCCTGCCGGCCTTTCCCGGGCGGGACCCGGTCCCTCCTCCACGGGCAGCCGCCGGCGCAACGCGGGGACGGGTCAGGGTCGCTCTCGGAGGGAGTTTTCTCTTTGCTCTTGACCTCTCGGCCCCCGTTGCGGGGCTCTGTTGCTTTCTTACTCTACACCCAGGGCTTTTTTGGCCAGGTTTGTGTTGAGAAAGGTCTTGGAGGAACGCCCAGTCCCGGCCAGCCCTTTTGGCCCTGTGTCCCAGCTGGCTTTTTCACTCTCTAGCCGAATTGGGGGAAAGAAGCTGATATTTGGGGGTTTAAAAGCTTTTTCCCGTCGCCGTTTCTGCAAGGAACCCTTCCAATACCCCGGTGGTATCAGAGGAGGACTTAACTCTTCCTGTGCATCAGCAAATGGAGTTGGTAGTGACAGAAAAAAAACCCCCAAACCCTGGATTGTCTTTGCTTTCTAATTAGGTAACGGCAAAAATAGAAGGCTGACGTGCGGATAGCGCGCCCCACCTCGTGTCCCCGCTGCCCCCTCGCTTTGGTGGTGATAGCTGAGTGACCGTGGGTCCTGGCTCGTGGTAGAGCTTCCCCCGCACGCTTAGGTCCTGGCGCCGTAGCAGCGTGGACGGGCTGGTCTTCCCCTCCCCGGGACCCCCTCGCCGCAGCCGTAGCTCGTCCTTAAATGCCCTGAGATCCCCCGGTGTTTAACCGCCCGCCGCCATCTCTCCGCCGCAGCCTTCGCCGATTACATCCTGATGGAGCCCAGCGAGGAGTACGCGCCCATCTTCGCCCTCATGCAGGAGAAGATCTACATGAGCAAGATCGTCGTCGAGTTCCTGCAGAACAACCGCGACGTCAGCTACGAGGACCTGCTCAACAAAATCGAGGTGAGAAGGCGGCGGTGGCGGCGGCATCCTCCGGGGCGGGTGTCGTTCCGCCGCCCTCTCCCTAACCGAGCCCTCCCCGCAGACCACCGTCCCTCCCGCGGGGCTGAACTTCAACCGCTTCACAGAGGACTCGCTCCTGCGCCATGCCCAGTTCGTGGTGGAGCAGGTGGAAAGCTACGACGAAGCGGGGGACAGCGACGAACCCCCCGTCCTCATCACGCCCTGCATGAGGGACTTGATCAAGTTGGCTGGAGTCACCCTGGGGAAGAGGTGAGCCCCGCGGCCCCGCGTAGGCGCTGCCTTCGGGGCGGGGGGCGCTTGGCTCTGCGGCGTCCTGGGAGGAGCTCGGCGGGTTGGTTCCCCCTTTCTTCCAAGAAAACCCTTCCGCTTGTTCCCAGCTGGGGTGAGCTGAGGATTTGGGCTCAGTGGCATCAGCAGCACTGGGAGACTGGAATAGAAATCCTCCCAAAACTGGGAAAACCCTCTGCCTAGTGCTGCCCTGAGGGAGGAAAGGCACTGGTTGGCGTCCCGGAGCCTGGCTTTGCTCTCTGTCCTGCTGCAGCATCTCTTTGGGACCCCGTGCCAGCCACGGCACCTACCTGGGTGCCTGTTGGGGGATC